GCTCGCCATAGAATGTGAGTTAATGTCCGTCACACATTTAGAACCTTCACCCAACCACCAATCAACCAAGGTTGGTCACACCTACCTTTCAATGTCAAATTTACTCACAACCACACCTGGAACACAGCTGACTACTCCCAATTTACAAAACGTTTGCATGAGAAATAAACAAATTAAAACTGCATATAAAATGCATTGAAAACTAAGTTAATTGAGATCTGTATACTGTACTTTGTAAAAGTTTTACAGGTAATGAATTTTTTTGTGTAACTCCCTGCAGTGACAACCATCCACACCCTGCAGTCTTCCAACCACGAGCAGACCATCAAAGCAGTGAAGAAAATCGGGAAAAGCGGAGTTCTCCCCAGCAAGGCCATCCTACACACACTGGGGGGTCTGATGCTGGACACCAACCCTAAACTCACCAGCGCTGCATCCTCATGTATCAATACCATCTGTACCAAGAGTGGGGGAGCCAACAGGGAAAAGGTTTGTGTGGTCGTCTTGGTCAGATGCCTTTGGATGCCAAACACATTGGCCTTTGCTAGCTGTGATGATTTGGTCATAAACCATTTAATGCAGTAAGCTGGTTCATAATTGAAACTGTTCATGCTCAGTGTGTTTCATTGTGGGTAATATTTCAAAGTTGAAAGCCCCTGAGTTTTTGGGGGCCTTCAAATTCAACCTCGCACATGCACAGTTCAAACTCCAACCAGCTGTTGATAATCTGTGTTGAATGGCAGCAAGACATGTGGATCTGCACAGTGATAGCTTTATATTACCAAGTCATTAGCTACGTTGCCAATCAGAAACCCCCATAGACATTTTATCATGAATTGCATAAATGTATTTAATTATTTACAAGACCTGCAGGTAAACTGTAAGAAAACAAATCTCCCTTAGTGTCCCACACATGTACGATACATTGCATGACTTAGATTTTCATGATGTGTGACAAGTAGTAAGTCTGAATGATTAAAAACCTACAATTATAATAAAAACAATAAAGATTTGCTGTAGTTATAGATGAGACACTTATGGAAGAGACATTTCCATTTTTCACAGCATGATCATGAAGAGAATGAGCAGGGTGAAATTGAGGAACTCGTGAGTCTGACTACCCTGCTGTTGGGTGTTGCTGGGAACACTAACAGTGTGGCACTTACCTGTAGAGTAGGACTGGTGTACAGATGCACTGGTGCAGCTTTCACATGGACTAGATGCACATATTAAAGGCACCCAAAGGGATTTCAGGGCCACAGTAAAGCTTCATTTTCATGGCCAATTTTCTGGTGATTTTTCTTATATAGAAAGTGGAATGAACCCTATTGTTGTATAGACACATTGCTATTGAGAACTACTTGTTTTAATGAAGAGCTAAGCTTGAATCAGTGTTGCTCCAATTCACCACCTCTAACTTCTAACATGCCTTGGACTTGGTGTTGGGGTAACCATTCACTGCTTTTTTATATTACTAACTCTGTTCCTGGTTCTTGTAAATACATGTAGCTGGACACTGAAAACATGTTGGAAAACAGAACTGCTCATATAAAGCCTATGCATACAGTTCAGGTTATCTACTTGGAAACAGTACGGAAAAACATTCGCCTTACGGCAGGTGACATCATTTTTTCTCTTCCTTTGGGTTCCAAGACCAGCGGAAGAAGAGAAAAGACAACTGTTTAGACAGACTTAGGGGTTTCAAAGCTGTAGGAGCTTGGGAAGCTACTAGTATTATGATGGTGATGTCCACAGCATGTCCGTAGAACATACTGCTGTCTTGCACATAATCCAGAATGTAACATGCATAGCACTTCTACTACAGAATGTATCATCTACGGTCATGTTCACGTATGACATCCCATCTACAGTTACAAAAGATATCTTATGCAATGAACAAAATTCTGATGCAAGCCAAACATCCAACAGAAACCGTGGTACGGTCAAAACATCCAAGGTGTAGTACGTTCTGCTGACATGCTCCTCATGCACATGATGATTATACAGTGATGGAATATTTCATATAAGAGCTCTCTTCCCCTTGTAGGCCTTTGTTCTGTACCTGGAATGTCTGGAGGATAAAGACCCAAACATCAGGAGTGCCGGATGTGCTGCACTGGGTTGTATGAAGGTGATGTCATGCAAGCTTACCTCTCTAGGAAATTTTTAAAAGTCCAGTGATTTCATAATTTGGAGGATTACTTGTGTCAAGGCTCTATTCCCTGACAGTACTGTAGAATGCAGTGACGTCCAGTGGTTATAACAACTCAGCCTCTGGATCATGATGTTGGGAGTTGCTGAATTGTGGCTGTTGTCACTCTTTCAACAAGCATGCTACTTGGAAAGGATCACAGTCCTCAGGACAGGGCTTTAAGCGGTGGACCACTGTTATTTGTACATGTTAAAAAGAGCTGAGGGAATTCCCTGGTACAATGAACATGTAAATAAATACTGTACATACATGTGGTGTCTGCCCTCTCTTACGCAACCAGTGGAAGATTACACATAGTTCTTCAGTGAGACGGTTCAAGATTACTTTCTCACAACTGATATTTGTGTTTCCAGGCCAGAGAAAGCATGGACAGTCTGCTGTACTTATGTCAGTCTGATGTGGATGATGTGAAGCGAGCTGCTAGAGATGCACTCTTAGCACTGGGTAAGTCCATGTTTGTTTGGTATTGAAGGAGATTGAATTCAGTTGGTCCACTTACACATCCACTGAGTGGGTTACAGCTACAACAGTCTGCTAGACCCAGTAGTATTTTTGGTATCAATTATTATGGGTTCACCACACCACGAAGTGGTGTGGTGAAACCATATTGCTTTTTCTGATGTTTCTTCTCCTTCTCCTTCTTCTCCTGCCATTTTTTAAATGGATTCAGCTTCTTCATTTTAGGGCCTAAGGTCCTGAAATTTGGTATGGAGGTACAGTGGGCAAATACCCCTAGGCGTTTTTTAAATTATTGTGATACAGGCTTTTAGAATGGTTTTATTTGAGTTTTTTGGCTGTGTTATAGCAAATGTATTACTGTACTTAGTGTGCCTTGTTTACCACGTTTGGGCATGAGTCATCACAATGGAATGCAGGGCATCAACCAATAGGCATGCAGCTTTCCTCTATTCTTCTTGCTGATTGGCTGTTGGGATTTAACTTGATTAACACCTCCTCAGAGCATTTCCACCTGCACAGAGCATTTCTTGCTGATTGGCTGTTGGGATTTAACTTGATTAACACCTGCACAGATCATTTCCATACTGACAGTATGTCTGTATTCAAGTGTTTTGGTAGGTATTTCAAGCTTTCCTGCTCCAGCATTGGAATGCCGGGCATGGACGTTTTTTTTTATTTTGAAAATCAACAGTTTGCATTATGCAATTAAAAATCCTAACCAATAAAGTAGGGAATAGCTATCCAACTGTTGTTTTAGTTGTATTTTACTTCATATTATAGTTATATCAATGTAAATCATTGTTTTCCCTTGTGTTTCCCATTCTTTCCCTGCCATGTCGTAAAATGTGGTGAACCCATCGCTGTATTTGCTCCAAAGCAAATATTGGCCTTTCTAGTTAACAGAGAACTTTTCTGTATAGTTTTGACTGAATAAATCTGTCTATTGAAGTACATTTTATAATGAGTAATACATATAGTTGTACTTCAAGTAATTTTACCGGTAGTGTAGTAGAGCATGAACTTTAACTTCTTTGATACATTCAGCACATTTATCCAGTCAGTTCCAGTTACCATTAACAGTTGGTTTGGTTTTGGATATACAGTTTCTATTACTCCATCCATAGTTTCTTTCCTTATTAGTGATCTCTATATACGACATACGACAAGTCTTGTTTCTTTCTCATGCTGCCTGAAACAGCTAGTACCTGAACTCACTCTCCATTCTTCCTTTCCCTCATGCCATAGCCTATAGCAGCTCACTGGGAGACTTAACAAAGATTGGTGAGTGCTTTGGTGGCTTAGAGAGGAACCCAAGCTGTTGACTTGTATATGTGTAGACCGAGTAGAGCTGCATACTGTCATACTGCCCCCACACTAACCCCTGCACTAAGTTGCAATCACACCAAATCACTGGGGGACTGGACTGGAAATTTTCGGTCGACTAAAAGGATGATCCTTCTAAAAAAAAGTCTCAAGCCTTTAACCTTCAGCCTGCTAAGGTAGCCATTTGGCACCAAATTTGTATTGGCATTGTATAGGATAGGATTAGCCAGCAGGGAGAAGGTTAAGCAGTTGTGCAGCGGTGTCAGACTGTGGAAAAAAATTGCCACAAGATGTTGCTATGCAAATAACTGTCATGATGACATTTGAATGTCAGTAATGATTCATTCTAATGTCATCATTACTGACATTCAAATGATGTAACAAATATGCTCATAAAATGTCAAAAATAACAAATCTGTCACACCCTCATAAACTGTATCTGATTTGGGGATCAAGTTTTTGTTTAGACAGATATGGAGTCACACACCCTCATTGACCACAAATGTGACCATTGATCAAAGGGTCTTGCCACAACTCTCTTATACTTTAACAGTGATTGCCACTTGTGTATCCATCTGTAGCTCAGACAGTGCTTTGTGCTCATTTCATGTCTGCATTCCTTTGAGACGCTAAACATGTACACAGACACGTGCTTTTGGTTTTGCCAATGTGTCACATGCTGTGTCTCATGTGTGTCATTTTGCAGTGTTTTGTGGTCTTGTGCTTGGCACGTGGTAACGTGGTCAGAGCCATCTTCAACAGTGTTCTGTAGGGCCTGGAGCCAACCTACATGTACATTTGTATACAGACTGTATTGTGAACACCTCTTTAACAATTATAATTTTTCTTCATACTGTTGGTAATTCGTACCTACATGCATATGTACAGGAGAACACTTAAGTTTATTTATTTTATTTTATTCACATTTATTTTCCGAGGATGAGGCAAAAAGTTATAAAACTTATCTCAGCCCTCTCCTCACACATAAAAGGATACAATAAAACAAAGTAATAATAATAATAAGAAATGACAAGGGTACATAGTAGGCTGGTGTACAAATCAAAATGAATCAACTAAATCAAACAAAACGTCCTGTCTGCAAAATAAAGTTGAAAACCGCATCAAATATGTTACAGTTGTTGACAAACGACAATGAGGGGTTACCCCTGAGAATGGTTGAACATAAAGTGTTGTCGGTGACGTTGTTTGTGTCAAGTCACCAACAATGATTACAGCTGTTTTATCAGTGGGGCGACTGGTCATGATAATGTCTGCGGATTGCTGCAGGTGTTCTATAAATGCATTGCGTTCTTCCGCACTCTGACCAGGTGGCCTATAACAAGCACATATAAACACATGCCAATTGTTGGCCTCTACCTCGCACCAAATTGTTTCAAACGAGTTGCATTCTAAATCATTCCTTCTTTTCGAAGGTACAGAGTTCAATACATATAGTGCGACTCCACCACCATGCCGATTTCGATCACGTCTCATGGGGGCTTGGTAGGAAGCGAGAGAAATGTCCGAATCGGGAATGGTAAAATCGCACCATGTTTCAGACAAAGCAATAATATCATATTTCTCTTCAAGGGCGATTGTCTCAAGCTCGTGAAGTTTAATATAATCGTTAGCAGACAGGCTCCTCACGTTTGAGTGGCATATGGACAAACATCTCTGTAAACTACCCATAATCAAATTGGATTACTTGCAATGCCACCAAAACGAGAGGACTTAGATAATAACAAGGACACCAGCTACAAAACTCACAGGTAAGACACACAAAGAAATACATAATCCTACTTCTAACACAGCAAAAACATAAGAACATGATCAAGTCAAGGGCCTCTAAAACAGAGGCCATCAAAAAGAAACTTAGCTAGAGAGCGCTGGAAAGTCCTTGGGTGCTGTGTCAATCAAAGTCACTTAAGTTAGTATTTTTTGTGTGAACAGAGATATTAGATATTCAACCTGCCTTTCTCTTCCCTCGTGACCTCAATGAAAAGCAGCCTGTCGGCCGATTTAAGCTTCTCATGAATAAACAAAGGTTTAAAAAAAACCATCCAGTATTATATGTACAATGTATGTACTGTACACAAATCAGTTGTAAGAAACCAGGAGGAGACAGTAGAAACAGATAAAAACCCCTTGGTCCCGGGCCGGATTCGAACTCACGGCTCCCGGGCCACAGTCAGACGCTCTGACTGAGTGAGCTAAAAGGTCTAGACCCATTGGTTGGGTCAGTTGGTAGCACCTATAAACCCCCAACTGTTACACAGTGAAGGGAGAGCTAGCACTTAAGAGGTGTTTACAAGTAGAAGTCAATGTCCTGAGGAATCTTTTAGTTTACAGTGTAGTATAGCCTGCTTGAAGTGTACTTGTAGTATGTAGGCTCAACTAACCACAGCAACTGTCTATGCATCAATAGAGCTATTAGTAGACTTCAGTTTTAGATGCTTGAAATAGAAAGAAAGCAAATCTTTTTTATTGCTTTTCTTGTGTATATGCCAGGTGCTGTGTGTGTGTGTTTATTTATGGTTCTGGTGATGTTTTGGTGACTGTATGACAACTTCTTCATTGCAACATTCAATCACTGGTTCTGATTTGTAACTGTACCTAGTTGTCACTGCTACAGTGTTTTAAAAAATGCACGGTTTGTTGAATAAAGAATCTACTTGTACAGTCTCTTGCCGACCTGATGAAATTATGCATGGTAAGAGTAGATTGTGTCTTTCCAGGCCGTGTTGGTGAAAACAGTGTTGGGTTAGAAATTGTCCTACCATTGTTAATAACAACATTTCATCTCTGTTGTCACAGGGGAGGAGGGCAGGCTGGCCTTTGAGCACATGGGGTCGTTACCAGGGTTACCAAGGGTCATGTCGGAGACAGGTACCCCTCAGGTGGGAGCATCTGCTTACCACTAACACCTGCCACAGGTGTCTCACCTGGAGGAGTAGCTCAGGTGTTCCTTAGCACCTGGCAGCAAGGGAAAAAGAGAGGAGACTGCTTAGATGTCCTAACAGTTGCTTTGCAATCTAAAAATGT